CACACACACACACACACACACACACACACACACACACAAAAGTATACTTTTGCCGCTTAGTTGTCTTGTTCGCGTCGATCATCGATATCGTGATACTTGTGTTACTTGTGATAGTTGTGTATGATAGGATGCATAGAAAGAAAGACAGGAGAAAAGAGGGAGAGGGAGAAATATGCCGCCGGAGCCCAAACCATGCAGAGAAAGAAAGAGAAAGATGGAGATTGGAGAGGAGAAATCGCGCGAGTACTCCCTCGATAATATGTGCGCGCGTGTGACGCGTCGCGTCTGCACACACGCACGCACACACACACGCACACACACACACACACACGCACGCACACGCGCGCACACGCGCACACACACACACACATACACACACACACACACACACACAGAGAGAGAGAGAGAGCATCACGCGAGACACCTTTATATCTACTACCTACGTGTGTGACGTTCCTCTCCTATTAATCGCGGCGCGTGTGTGCACATACGCTACTCCATTCTTATTAGAGATCGCCGACTTTTCGCTGCGCGTGCGAATCGCGTCGTTTGTCCGTGCGTACCACTGCGTGTCACTGATAACGATAAGAATAAAAAAACTCACTCACGCGGCATGGCGAGAGTGAGGAAAACTCGTACTTAAGGCCATCATGCGGGGTCTACAATAGAAGTCGTAACAATCGCAGAGTCTTAAGTCGTAGAAAATTGACCAATCACAGTCGAATATGAGAAGAATAATCAACTGTGATTGGTCAATTTTCTATAACTTAAGACCCTACAACCGCTACGACTTCTATTGTAGACCCCGCATCACACGTACAAAAAATTTAGTCGTCATCGTAAGGTCGCAAACAAATCGACCAATCACAATCAAAATTACGATCTCGCGTTTTAAAACGCTTGACTGTGATTGGTCGATTTGCTTACGGCCTTACGATTACGACTAAAATTTTTGTATCTGTGATGGCCTTTAAACTTAATATCTCCGATTAAGTACTTAGTACTTTGGAGTAGGAAGACTTGACGCGACGTCACGTTTATACGACGCGACGGCGTGATACGGTGATAGAGGTAAACACTGGATCTCGGACACGTGCACACAGGAGGCACGTGGCCAACTCGAGGCTCTGCTCCGCGAGCTAGCTAATCGAGCCTCTCGAGAGCCAGACTATATTCGGTCAAAGCAGGTTTTCCATGCCTTATAATAACAATATAATTTTGTGTGAATTTTTTTTTGGGTGAAATGGAGTTAATTTTTATGTATAGGTATAATGTAATGTAAGTTCTATAATCTGGTGAATAAAAGATGCCATCATAGAGAAACAAGGCTCAATATAACAGATAGTTTTTGAGCTGATGTAAAAGGTGCTTGTGAGCACGCAATTACACTTTAGCTCAAAAATTAACCAGTATTGAGTCTTGGCATCATTACATATTATGTATATAAGCTAATAAGCTATACATATGTATGAAAACTTAAAAATAAACTTATTTTATCGGGCCCTAATTTTCTATACCTATAATTAGGGGTTCTTTATTATCAACCAAATTAGTCTCACAGATTGATGATCGGTTTAATTCCAGATAACTTTTTCTCTAGATATACATACATGCATACAAAAGTTTTCACATTTCCGTTCTTAGGAAAAAGTTATACATATGTTTGACCTCCTGAGAGTCGAGTTCAGAATCAAGGATGGAACGAGCCGTCAAAAATATTTAAATATAGTTAAATTCGTTGTATCATAACAGTAAGAATAGCAAGATGATTTTCAACTTATTCTATAATTCGCTGTATTTGCCGTAAAATGCAACACAGCTTCGCGCGTCCTTCATTTATGTGCGCGAGAGCAGGGCATTCTTGCCATCATCGGTGGACTTGATGGATAGTTTTTGCACACGATCGTATACATCTGCACACTGTATTTGTAATCGAAGCGAGGACTCATGTCGCTTGTGACGCAAGTGCGATCGCTTTAGCTCGCATTCAGAGAAATTTGAAATGCGATTTTCGCGCTGATTGTTTCCGCCGCGTGGGCGGAAAGGCATTCTCGTCGATCTCTCGCAAAAAGTGCGTAAAGCCGTGATCAGACTATAGAGATTGAGATTGAGATTGAATTAAAATTTAATCAATCAAAGCAAAGTTCACGTTTAAGCACGGCAGTTTGAGCACGGTTTAATAAACGCGTGCGTGAAAAGAGCAAAACGCTGTTGTTCGAGACTTGAAAACGAGATATGCCCGTGTAATCCTTGACCTACGGCAAATGGTTCGTCGGGGATTTCCCGATCATCAGTTTCAATATCTGAGCCAATCACGGTGTGTGACCGAAAAACAAAGTCGAGTAATCGCGGAAACGACATATGTACCTATATTTCTCGCGTTCGTCGTTCCGAGCGATGAGAGCTGTATCGACGTAATTCGATAAAAGACGAGTCATGTCTTATTCGCTTTGATCTCGTCTTGTCATCGGTGTAGAATCAATTACAATCATTAAATAGACATAATGCCAAAAACATTTTCTAATTGGTCTATCGCAGATGTATTCCGTTCATTATATATATATATGCGTAGTACGTGACAATAGGATACACGTGTTGTAATTCCACATGGAAAGAAGTATTTAAAATGTTTTGCTAAAGTATCTAAAAATTTAGCTAAATATAAATCTGAAAATAATTTTGTTGGACTATCAAAATAATTATATATATAGGACGCTCAAGCTGGTTGCTAGATTGTCAAAATCTTTTGCAGTATTATGCTTGTGTTTTCTACATTATTGCAGTTTTAATGATCCAACAAATTATTTCTTATTATAGATCTGTATTATATTATTCTGTATTATAGATCTGTATTATATTATTCTGTATTATAGATCTGTATTATTATAGATCTGTAATATAATAATAGAGGAAAAGGTGGTATTATGGCCAATGTATATATTGGCTGCGTTCAGCAGACTCAATAGTTTTGCAACCGTTTTATGATTGTTTGCTGAGATAGGACCATTCTTCTAGATCTAAAAGTATGATCCAATTAGCGCGAAGGAAACTTCCAACAGTTGCAAAACAAACGTTCTGCTGAACGCAGCCATTGTGGCCTCCCTTAATATCTCCGCTATTATATAGCGAATCCTAATGATTACTTATGGAATTATTAGTATTCAGTACTTGCCGTTACTCCATGATGCTAATATTATCAACACTCAATAGCCAGTACTTAGATATTATAACACATTTTTACTTTCAAGTATTTCGAAATGTTTCTGAGATACATTTTAGCATTTAATTACACCTACTTCCCCTCATTTTTCTTAAACTTGAGCATATTATCACATGAATATATGTATTTTTGAGTGTGTTATTTGCTTTTTAACATTTTATTTGATTGTATATATTTTGAGTTATGCAAATTTAAACAATAGCATGGCATTTTGCTAATGTGGCCCGTATGGGTATTGATTGTCACGACCTCTTTTTTGAAATTTTCATATCAAAATAATTATTTGATAATCGATTGTAGGTCTACTTTTAATCTATAGTTTATATTACGTGTATTATTTTTAGTACTGATTGTGAGATTTTTAATACTGAGCAGCTTATATGCAGAATGATTTCGCGAATGTAAATTTCTGACATTGAAAAGGATCCGAACGAGGATCGAAACGTATGGAGTTTTGGAGTTTGTATGAGAGATTAAATAAAGGAAATATTTCACACCGAGATCCAGTGCATGGCTTACAAAGGCATTAATTTATTGATCGATTCATCTCAAAGGAGATTTAAAGTAACTCGTCTTATATTTTTTTATATGCAGAAGTTATGTAAACGTATATACATTCATTTGTATACATTTTAAAATGTTTTACTTTTTTGTTAATTTTGTAACCAAATACTGTTTTCTAAACAAAAAACTAATATATTTTAAGACTCTTTTTATGGAAGGCCACATTACCACTCATTTGTTTCTTCGAGTCATTATGCAATGTCGCCACATTTTTATTAATAGTATCGTAAGTGATAAATATTTCGTAACTTTGAGTTCAAAATCGATTCAACAACATTTTAACGAATGTAATTGTCAAGTTTTAAACTTAAATATTGATTATTAACAAAGTTATTGTGTAAAATGTAACTGGGATGCCATAATACTACCTCCTCTAATATTTTGTATGTTTAGCTAATTTTTTTTTTAGATACTTGAGTAAAATCATTCTTTCCGTGCTTAAACCTTTTATTTTATCTTATTATTATTTTGTTATTATAAAAAGAAACATGGCAAAGCTTCGTTGAATGAGAAGAAATGACCACTTGTTGTATAAGTGGTACTCCAGGCGATTATCCATCGATAAGCGCCTCGATGTAAAATATCTTCCGCATTCGCAAAAATTGAAAAAAATGAGAAAGGATATGTTTCTCTTCGCAATCGTTTGTTGTTCCACCAAATTCTCACCAAGATCCAAAAATCGGCTTCAAACTCTTCTTAGAAATCATTAGCTATTACAAATAAGCTTCGTGAGAGCAGGATCCCATTAGCACATGACAGTCGCGTCATATGAATGACACTCCTTTTTATATCCCCCCCCCCCGAATGCGCCCTGTCATTCGAATATAAATGACACCAAATTTCCGTAATGTTTTACGACGGAAAAAGAGTAAAAAGAAACGTGTTTGCAGTTTCCTAGAAGCTTTTCATGAAATGTATGCAAGTCCCATACATGAATGACATGACAGTCAATGTATGGACGAATCGATCGCGTCGAAATTCTGAAAATGGGGCGCCAACGTGGTATGTACAAGTCCAAGTTCCTCGGAGGTACGTCGCGTCGCGAGGAACACCCACATATATAGTACGTGACGATTCACATGTTGTGTGACATCGTCGTGAACACGTGACGATGAGAGTAAGCGAATGCGGGT